AAGATCCACAGATTATAGATTAGAGTGTCATGGTAAAATGATACTAATTTCAGAGTTTAAGACAATAGAGTGTCATGAATATATTGACTGTAAATTGTCATGTAGGAAATAAAATGACCTAAGGGATTGGTAATAGCTGTGGAACTTTGCTTTCAGTCAATTCTTAAAATATTGCCGTGGTTGCTAGATGAGATGAAAACAAACAGACACAGGCAAAAACCCCATCAACCCAGGCGTTACAACATAATAGCTTTTCGGAAGCCTGCTACCACAGCACACTATTTCCTGTCCTCTGCAACAGGAGATTGAATTTCTTAGCTCTGAAACTATTTTCCTGTAGATGTATCTACAACTCATTGTTAAATAAACTGCTTTTAAACAAAAGCTAATATAAATATAATTTTAAAATAAGTTTTCTTACTCTCCAGTAGAAGTCAGAGTAGAACTGAAACTCACACCATCAAGAGATGAGCACAAGGAGAGAGTTTGCATCTGTAATAGAAATAAATCCCACCTGCTACAGCTCATTGTCCCCAGGGTAACTTTTTCCTGCATGGTCAGTAGAACTCAAACACAAGAAAACACTTGAAGTGAAATGACATAGAGAGAGCAAAGAATAAATTCTGCATTAACTTACACTTATAGATGAACACGTGTCATTCTCCCAACATTTTCACCTGACTATACCTGACTCTTCTGTTTTCTTCAGAAGAATGGAAGAAAAATAAAGAGGTGATGGCAATACTGATGTAATGTTTATTGTAGTAAAAGTATTATTTCCTCCTGAAATCACACCATTATCATAAGAAACAGTGAACTAAAAGGGAGAAATCACTATGGGAAATTAAATCTACATTATAATCATCATCTTGGCTTCAAATACCTCAAAACCTGTTTAGCAGTGGAAGGGACTTGACTGGGCTTCATCCTAGGTTAAGCAATACGCTCTGCACAATGCATTTCACAAAAACAAGTCCACCCTTTCTTAAAAACAGTGTTAAATAGATAAAAAATAAAGTATGGCATTATCAGTCATTGTGAAAAACAGTATCGGTACGCCACCTCTGCAGTTATATAAATGATAGTTCAGCTGCAAATTAAATTAACATGCTATTATGATGATCCTGTATTTCAGAATGGTCCCATTCACACTTCTTCACTTGTAGAAAAATCATTTTTTTCTCAGAGATTTAATTGTTACTTTTCAAAGCATCCAACAGCTCTTTTTTTTTTAAACAAATACAAAAATCATGAGAAATAGATACAATTTTTTAAAGCTTGGAAAAGCAATCTGATTATAGTGAAAATGTTTTTATCAAGAATTTCTATAATTTATTAGTCCTCAAGTTTGCTTTCAGATGGACTGGTTCTAGAAATTAACTGTTGTGAAATTATGTAACTTTCAAATAACTACAAGCAGATTTTATCATATAACTGGGATGAAATTGGCTTACCATGCTATTGTAGTATCTTATTTGTAAGCTTTGCATAGAAATAATCCCTAATATATATCTAAATCCTCCATTTGATTCCAAATTTAGAAAAGCAGCATTAGTTTCTGAAAAACTAAATCATTTTATATTGTCTCCTGTGTCTGTCTTCACCCCGTCCTTGTTTTGGCTGTATAATCTTGAACAGGAAAAACCTCTGAATATTTACATGACATTTTCTCCTTTGGATGACAGATTTGGAACTAACTGTAATTATTTATGAGTTTATGAACTAACGATGACCTGACTTGTGAAGTGTACTATATGCATACACTAAATCATATTAGTAATGTAAACATCTGGAAATGTGTCCAAGAAGGATTTAAAAAGGGGTGAAAAAGGATACCGAGAAAAATAGTGTCCCACCAAGAACTAAGCAGCAAAGGCCCCTTAAAGGTGACAGAGAGTGCATGCCTTGTGAGAAAAGGTCGGGGGGGAGCCTGGCTTGCTTACTCTAGTGAAAAAGAAGACTGAGGGATGATCTGATAACGACATACCATTCCTTCTGAAGGGCACTTACAGCAATGGCAGAGTCAAATTTTTCTTGGTAGTGGCAGGTGGGGAAGGTTAACATGAAAAATTGCCCCTTAAGATGCTCAGTCTTGGAAAAAGGTTGCTCACGAGGATAGTGGTGCAGAAAGGCTGCAGCATTGCCATTCCTGGGGGGTTTCAGGACTCAGCTAGACCAATTCACAGATGACCGGATGTGCTGCTGGTGATAATCTGCTTTAAGCATAAGGTTAGACTAAATCACATCAATGGGCCTCTTCCAACTAACATGTCTGTCTGTCTTTCAGCATGCAACCCAATACTAACTTCTCTGTGAACAACTGACAAATCAAGAACTGTCATTTTGATTTACCTGGGTCTGAGGTCCCAGGAAACCTCAAAATTCATTTTGATAGCAGCTCCAGGAGAAGCATTCAGAGAGATGGAACAGGATGGAGACAACACAAAGCAGATGACATCTGGGTATTAGGTGTTTGGTATATGGTAAACTTCTGACTAACAGTCGTTTGTGCATCTCTCTCATTTTTCTACATTCTTATGACATTTTTATGACTTGGTTTTTACAAGGAAATAAAAAATAAAATTATTTAAAGAATACTTGAACTGGTTTTGGCTGGGATAGAGTTAATTTCCTTCATAGTTGCTAGTACAGGGCTATGTTTTGGATTTGTGACCAAAACAGTGTGGATAACATAGGGATGTTTTAGTTATTACTGAGCAGTGCTTACAGAGTCAAGGCCTTTTCTGCCTCTCACCCCACCCCACCAGAAGGTAGGCTGGGGGGGGCACAAGAATTTGGGTGGGGCCACAGATGTGACAGCTGACCCCAACTAGAGGAAGAAGTAGTAAGGGGAGAGGGAGGAATGAACAACACATTCAGAGTGATGGTACTTGACTTCTCAAGTAACCATTACATGTGATGGAGCCCTGCTCTCCTGGAGATGGCTGACCACCTGCCTGCTGATGGGAAGCGGTGAATGAATTTCTCATTTTTCCTCTGCTTGCATATGCAGCTTTTGCTTTACCTATTAAACCATCTTGAACTCAACCCACACATTTTCTCACTTTTACCCTTCTGATTCTCCCCCTGATCCCACTGCAGGAGTGTGAGTGGTTGGGTGGCATCTAGCTGCTCTCTGGGGTTAAACCATGACAATACTTTTAAGGTCACTGCATTGACAGATAATAAGTTCCCAGGAATAAGAGGTCAGCCTAAGCCTGTTTAAAGTCCAATAATATCCATAGAAAATAAACACAGCTGTACACAGACTTCATTAAGAGTGAGATAGTGAGGCCACTGCAAACACCAAGTTAAAGGCGTCACACATTTAGAGAAGGAGGAAGCAGTCCTGGAGGGAGGTGGTGCAGCTGGCTCTGTATTTAGGCTGCTGCATTTTTCTAGGCTTTTTTTTTTCCCCTTACACTGGGTCACCAATACTCAACATTATGCAGTTTTTTTACAAATCCTGTGTTATTTAAATTTCCTATTTGTTACAAAGAGTAAAAAAGGTAGAATCATAACGACACACTTTCAAAGCAACACACATTTTTTCAAGTGTAGTGCTTTATGGTTTCGCTTGAAAGTTAGAGGCTGCAGAATTCATTGTCCTAGAGGTTTAGGTACTTTTCAAAGTAAGAATCAAACTGCGAAATAAATTAAGATCAAACTACTTAAAATTAATATATAAAAAAAACCCCAGGCTTTCATGTATTCTTCCAGAAAATAACAGACAAAAGCGTCCTTTCCTGTACATGCAGAATTACAGATAAAAATTTCAGTAATAAATTTGGGCCAAAAAAAGGACAAAGGTGGAAACTGCATACCGATATCCTGACTTTGACACAAACTTTCACTACGTAAGCCCATCTTACATGCATTTATCTGTCCATATGCTAAAAGCCAGAGATAGATGATGGATTTAGGTACAAGCTGAGACTTGTGGCCTTGCACTGAAACAAGAAATTAATTCAACTGTCCAGTCAGATGTGTCAAGGTCTCTCCCAACAGCATTCTTCAGAAAGAATAAGCAAGCTTACTCGCTCTTTTCTATGCTGAGACAATCCCCTCCCCGAAATCTCAACTAACTGACAAAGCATATGAAAAAGAAAATTAATATTTAGGAGTCCTCAAAAAGAAGTTCTAGGCAAGTATTTTTATGTGCATATTATTTCCAAAAGAGCAATTACTACCAAAATCAATTTGATGTCAACTGTATTAGCACTGTTGGTTTTTTTTTTCCCAGAGGTCAATACAAACCTGTCACTGAAAAGCTATTTCACAGCTGCTGAAGACATGCTATCCATCTTATACCCACTGAGGATGATCCAACACCTAGCAAGCACTTCTTGTCCGATTACTCCCAAATGCCTGGTCTGGATTAGTCCATTATACTACTGTTCCCCTCTTTCCTCTCAGAAACCCATCATCAACATATTCATATTTAGCTATGCTTTAGGCATGTATGGCTTGCATATTAATGAAATATGTACATGACATTGTTTTGACACAAATATGAGACTTTTTTTTGCAATGTACTTACTCCAAAGCAATTTTATCTTTACAGCGAGTGTTCTAAATATGTAAACCCTATTTTTTAGAGTTACAATTTATTTTTCCTGATTTATGAAACAAAGCCACCTATCTAAAACACAAATAAATTATTTAATGCTATTCAGATTAGAACAAAAATTACAGTAGCTCCTCTAGGCTTCTGTGGTGTTGAATTAAAAATATATTGTGAAGAACTATACACCTACACACTGCACCAACTGATACTAGGTGTATTTAATTTATTTCAGTATAGCTAAACTCATGGAATAAGTGAGGTGTGCACACAAAATGTCACCAGAAAATCAGCACCTCACTATAAATGACAATTAAGTGATAACATTTTAACACTCATAATGATAACCACGTTAGACAAAGATGCAAATTTCAAAAGTAGCATGAAAGAAAAAAAGCAGAAGAGTGACAAGGAAAAAATGTTGGTCACGGGATACCTTTTTTTGTCTGTTTTCAGCAGCAGCCAACTGAGCTGACATTCTTTCTTGCATTTTCCTGCAGTGAGCCATAACAGCTTCTAAAATGGACAAAGGGTTCATGCATATTGGCTTCTTTTCTTTATCACCAGCACCTGCCTCAAAGTCTCGCTGAAGAGCCAGAAATGGGTCACTCAGATTAAATCTTCCATATCGCTCCTGGATAAAAACCTCTTTGCGTCGGGCCTAACAAAAAAAGCAGAAAGACAAATAAATGAAAAGAAATGTGTTCTTTGGAATACATCCACACATAGAAGAGACCTAAACCACAGGCAAAGTTACATAATGTATGTTTTTTAAATGGTTTCTTTAGGTATTTGTTTACAGTCTCTTGATGAAATAGTCATATATATTTGCACACAGATTCCATTATAGTCAATACAATTCACTACATCCAAACCTTCCCCCTCTCTATTCAATACAGAACTATCAGTTTGGAGCAGTTTCAGAAGTATCACAAAACAACATCTTGTAAATTGGCTGATACAGAGAGATAGAAGGGAAGAAAAACACTCCAAAATATTTCTATTTCTGTGTATTAAAAAGATGCTAGTAAAAGATAAGAAAACATGCTCTGTATGTTTACTGCAGTACCAATATAAGTGCTTTTCAAATAAAAATTTGATGGCAGGTAATAGAAGACAAGCAAAGAGCAAAAATATCAAGGTTCTTCTGAAATGAAGACACTTCTCATATCTTTGTTCAGGAAAAGCTTCATGATCATGTGTTTCTCCATGCCATTATTTTAGAACATAATCTTACTTCCAAAATACAGGACAACATTTCATTGTCATATCAAAAAATATTACACAATAAAGATCTGAGGTAGTTTTACTTGACACATTTTTGGTTCTTCAGTGTAACATGAAAACAAGATCAGTTTCAAAGAAGTATTATATTTATTATATTTTTTAATATAAAGTACACAGGAAGGCCACACATAAGTACTGACTTCTCACAGTCTTCACAGAAAATACTGTTCCAAAATCTTAGGCTTAATATCCATCTAATTTGTAGGGGGAACAGAAAACCAAACCAACCAACCAACAAAAAAAAAAACACCAGAAAAAAAAAAATCACAAAGATCCAATGATTTTTAAAGGTTTGTTCTGGTGATTTTGTGCTTGCACATATAACACAGAGAAGAAAAAAAGCAAAACCAACACAGTACGAATTCTGGAATAAAAATGAAGGATTGTTACCTTAAAAATTAAAACAGTCTCCAGAGCAGTGCCTGCATATTCTGATGCTTAAAATACTTTCAGTCTATTTTCCAATTTGATAGTACAAATACAACTTGAAAATATTTATTTTTTAATAAGTGCCTTTGGGGCATAACTTCAGAAAAAGCTTGCAGAGTTCATTCAGACCTAGTGTCTCGCTAGGCTTAGAAAGTCAAGTGGTGATTGTCTGAAGAGACAATAAGCTGACACAACCTAGTTCTTTTTTATAAAATGCATTGTAAATAACCCCTAATTAGTCTAATATTTTAATCCCTTGATTTCAACTTAGATTTAAAAATAAAATAAATTAAAATGTCTAACTCTAAAGGTAATTTTACAAAGCCAAATGGTCAGAGTTTCTATTCGTAGCTCCTGGTTCCATACACTGAAGTTCCATGATATTATGCAGCTTAGGAATTCAACCTTCATCTAAAGGAAACAATCAAAACCAAAAGCCTGACTGTAAATGGATTAAACAGACAAACAAGATGACAAACCCAAGCAGGTTAAGAATTTAAATGAAGTGGAAGCAGAATCCATATATAAATTATCAGCAGTGTAAAAGGCACTTTGTTTATACAAAGAAAGTGAGCCATTAAAGTAAAGGAAAATCGACTGATGTAACAGTTCAGCTGTAAATGAAAGAAAAGACCACCAGAGCCTTCACCCTTCAATCCAAAGACCAACATCAAAAAGAGAAGCCAAGTGGACTAACTGATCTCAGAGGGAAAGGCAGCCACTCATGCCTTTAAGGAAGCACAGGTAGGAAACCAATGCAATGTGTATTTTCCACTTTTTTTTTTTCCTGTGACCCATGACTAGCTGTCTTCTTGGCACATAACAGTATGAATGCAACATGTATGTACTCTTTAAAATGTTTTCTAGATGCACAGCAATTAACAGAGCAAGCAAGGCTCAGTGTGCAGCTGCCAAAATAGTAACAGGACTGAGTGTTTGGATTCATTAACTAAGGAAAAAGATGAAACTACATAGAAGGGATGAGCTCTGTTTTGATTTTCATTCAGACAATCTGCTGGTTTTAAGAGTTGAAGTGGCTACAGGAAAACATGAAACCTAAAGACTGTGGAAAAAGTGGACAGCACGTGGTTTGGGATAACTCTGTAGGATGAAGCTTTAACTGTACACCCTCAAGCACAGGGTAAAACAGACTGGTGACTCCCAAACCATAAACAGCAAAGCCATCTCAGGATCCTTCCAACTCAAAAGGGAGCTAAATGCAAAATATTGAAACAAATGTTTCCATGTTTCTATACAAGGACTAAAAGTATAAAATGAAATGATAGGATGAGGATGCATGATTACAAATGAAGATACCACAATCAAAGACAAAGCAGAAGCTTGGTAGAAGGGAAATGATGAGTAGCTCCCTAGAACTTAGGCACAAAGTGGCAGAAAGACAAGCTAGGCTTGGCTGGTTGGTTTGGTTGGTTTTTTCCACAATTCCTCCAACCTCTAAAGAATGCTTTTGTCCCTTTGCACTTAACTAAAGTACATCAGATGGGAGGAATAGAAGTAACAGAATCACAATATTTTCTCCCTTATATCATCTTTCAGCACAGAATTTCAAGTCATAAGAGCTAACAGCAATACCAAGATATCTTTTTTATGGCACTCATTATCTGGGGAATGTACAGTCTAATGTCATACGGGTATAATTAATCCTTTAAAATTGTCTGCATAATTTTGTGGCTGTGCTAAAACAGCATCAGCAGTATCTCATATTAACTTCAATTGCACAACAATATATACAGAAAATAACATTTAAAATGTTGATTTGAGAATAATTAACCAAAAACATTCTCCCACAGAAAATTTTCAAACTCACACTATATACCTACTATAGGAGGCAATCAGGACTGCTGCACAGTGAAAGGTGCTATATTAATTTATAAACTATCAGCTTTACTTTTCTGTACATACTCACTTGCACAATGACAAGCGTCTTAATGAAGAACTAAGATTGAAAGTATTTAAAAGTATAAAAATATCCATGGGAAACAGTATTTTTTTTGCAGCCTTTGCCAGTGTTACAGAATTATGACTTAAGCTAAATCCTCCAACAGGTACCTGCTAAGGAAAACTGACAGTGAGCACGTAAAAATTAAGAGGAAAATATTCTAAAAGCAAATTAATAAACTCTCTTTAAGTAGGCAATTCATTAAATGCCCTACTGCAATAGAAAAAATGCTTAAACTTTTTCACAACAGCTTTTGAATTCAGTCCAATAAGAACATCACATTTATACAGAGCTATATATATATATATATATATATATTTATATTTATACAGATCCGTTACACAGGATATGAAAAATAAAAATTAAAAAAAATGTAATGAGGATAAAATAATAAAATAAGATTGCAATTACTGCCTAAAAAGAACGAAACTCCAAAGTTTCTTTATGGACAGGCTCGTCTATAGCATTATGTTAGATCAAGGACAAACTACAAGTTTATACTAAAAAAAGTACAGTAGACCTGAAAAACATCTTCAGAGAGGAGTGAAAGATGATCAAAAGGTACAACACAGCTTGTCTTCAAAAAATAGCTAAGTTGACTTTGCAGTGTGAAAAAAACAGGAAGAAACATGCCAGAGGTCTGCACACTGACAGGACAAATAGCAAACATCCCACGATCTAATGAGGGAATTGGATTTGGACACAAGTTCTTCTCACTGAGAGCAGATAAGCACTGGAACGTGTTGCCCAGGGCAAACATATAACCTCTGTCATTGGGAGATTTCCAAAACTAGATTGGATAAGGCCATTAGCAACCTGATCCATGTTTGACGTTAGTCCTGCTTTCAGCAGAAGATGAGACAGAACAATCTCTTGTGGTGCCTTCCAACCTAAATTACTCTATGATTAGTGATTTCTTTTAGGACTTTTTTTTTTTTTTTTTTAATCTTGTATGTGCTAGCAATCTTCTCAAGTAAGAAATGACAGAAATGAGCTCTCAGAGGAAGGAAAAACAACCAAATACTGGTGGAACAAGTCTTATCTTGCTTCAGATCATGAAAATACTTAGAACTTTTATTCTCTGATAGTTTCAAAAATAAAAAAAATCAGTACTGAAAAATTTTAGGGACTATACAACTCTGCAACACAACGGGAGCTTTAGCCTCAAGCTTTTTCCCCTCAGTCTGCATCCAACAAGAATGCGGATGATCAGGCTGTAAGATAAATTGCTTTGTTCATTACTCTCACAGGGAGCCTGTCAACTACAACATAGAGCAAGACCCCTCATTCGCCCCGACACCAAGGTTTTTTGTATTCCTCAAGTCACCTCTGTGCATCTATCTGCCAGCTCCCTCCTGGACACTTCCATCTCTCAAGCTCACCCCTTGCAGTCACTGACCCTATTTATCTACTGGCAGATGAAGATTGGCAGTGGGGGTTTGGGGAGAGGAACAAAAGAAGTGGAGATATCTGGTTGATGACCTGTGGGAAAAGCTGCAAATCCAGCATATGAACTGGCCTAAGGTCACTTGTTTCCTATGTTCCACTTCAGAAGAAAAAAAAATAGAATTAGAAAATCTATTTTCAGTGATCAAGCTGAGACTTCTGAAGTCTAGTTAGACTTTTCCCTCATTTTGGAAACAAGAATATAAGAAGGCAAGGAGGCCTTAAATAGTATCCATCTTACTGTGGACTTAAAGCTGAAAACACAAAAATAGCAAGGAAAACCAATGCAGCCATCTGATGTATAAGTAAGAAATAAGCCAAATAAAAACAAAGAAACAAAAAAAAAAAAAAAAAGAGAAAAATTAATCACATAATATACCTTATACAGCTAGTTTTCTTTTGGTAATGATCTAAACTGACATCAGGTGGATGCGTTGGCTGAAATGAGTTTTCAAACAGTTTATGTAAGCAGTAACAGAACATATAAGCTACAGTATTTTTCAGGTTAATCCTGCATTTTTCCCTGCAATGTATCTAAG